GTGTGATTGAAAAACAGCAAGTGTTTTGGGACGAATCGAAGGGTGGAGTCGAGTTTTGGGACGAATCAGTGTAGACTCGAGCCGGGATATCCGAGATGGCGTTGAAAGTGGTCGGTAATTGGGAATGTTTGGATAAACCCAAGCGATGCCACTCTTTTCGCACCCGAACAGACCGTCGATGAAGGCACGACACGAACGCCAGCAGGCTGACATCAACATCAAACAAAACTCAATGGGTAAAAAAGCAATTAGGTAGCGTTGACCCAGTCTAGTCTACACAGGCTAGTGTAGCCTACAGTCTAGCTCCTACAAACAAACCAAAACACAGAGGGCACCCTCACAACCCCACCCTCAAGCTCGACAGAAGTATATAGTCTACATACAATAGCAGCGCATCGTGCCGATTCAGGGACAACAAATTATCTCCAAGACCGCGAAAATGCGGTACTCTAAGCACACTTCTACACGTTCAACACCCTGCTGAGTATGAGGGCACTGCATTCATGACGGCAGAGCTGGTTCCGCCTCCCACCCTCATTTTTTTTCTGCCGAGTACGAGGACACTGCATTCATGACGGCAGCGCTGGTTCCGCCAAACACCCTCATTTTTTTTTTTGTCACCACCCCCGGCAGTTTGACTAGATGGCCTCTTACCACCTCCTTCTGTGCCCTGCCCATCTTTGTGTCTCGTTTCCTTCCTGCCCTTGGGAAGAGTAATGGGCGGGTTACCCAGCCCAACCAATCCGTTATTAGGCCCTGGGCCCCGCACAAACGCGTCGAATTCACGCTCCTGGACATCTACCAACGCCTGAAAAGCTTGCACCGACGCCGGGCTTCCATCAACTTTCGCTGCCGCGGCAGAAGCCCACTTCATGAACTTGGCAACATAGTCAGCATACGCTTTGCCTTGGATGTTTTTCAAGCGATTGGGGTAAGTGGCCTGGCCATCATCCCCGCCATCCCCGCCAAAATCAGCCGCCCCATCAAAATCGTCGTCCGTGTAACCCCCCTTGAACGTCGCCTTCTCAAAGTCGCCCATTTCTGTATTCCGCAGACTCCACTCCCCGCGAGAACTTCGCCATCGAGGGTGGATGGACTCCCCAATGAATTCGCTTGCCCGGCCAAGGCGCGTCACTAGTGCGGCCAATACATGACTGCAGTGCAACCCACACCTCATAAGCTTTAAGCACGTGCACAACTGAAAACCTTCCGGCCCAACCACAACAATATGGCCAACCTTTCGGTTCTCCCGCCGAGTAGTGCTAGGGTATTTGTACTGTACTTTCACGATGGCATCGATAGGCTATCCTCGATCAGCAGCATCGCATCGATTGGAATCTTGACACACTGCAACTCGGTCTCCGGCGATACGAACGTTTGTGTAGGTATGGCATGCACCTCATGCTGTTCATCGGAGTTGACTCGGAGAACAAAACGGTCGTCTTCGCCCAGGGGTTCTTCTCTGACGAATCGACCGACTCCTTCCTGTGGGCTTTGAGGCACTACTGTACAATTTGCGGGGGGCACCCGGAGGTGGGCCAGGCTAGCATTGGTGTGCGGCCAATCGCCGTGTTGGCGTGGATAGAGCCAGACAATTGCTGGTAATGCCTTTTCCTTCAAATGGCCGCGGGCGTGTTTGGCCATGCAGCTCAACAAACATACGTAAGACCCACGCCGAACCCCGATGATATGTGTTTGGGGTCGATCCATCATGCGCTCCCTCCACGTCGTTTCTCTCTCAAGGTGCTCATCACTGACGCGGACGCTGCGATGACAAACGCCGCGCGAACGCTTCTGCCGAGAACCGTGCACCTGCATTGTTTGTGGCACGTGATGAAAAACGTCAGGAAGCATTACAAGGGTGCTTTGAAAGACAAAGCTACCCGCTTCTTCAGGCTCATCTATGCCGCAGCTTTCGCTCCATCAGAGGATGTGAGTACCTTAGGGCCGTTTTAACCCAACTGGGGACCAAGCGGGGGTACACTGCGTGCT